TCAACATTATGTTTTGATGTCGTAGCCCATTATATTCAAAGTTATGAATTTAGGTTATTAGAATTTCGGTAGATATTCAGAAAAATAAATATGCTTTCTAATTCATATCTTTATATTTTATTAAAAGAACTGTAAAGTAAAATACAGAACAATTTAGTATTTGAATTGGCAGTTACACTAGAAACTGCTTCCTAAAATGTCAGTGTTCTTAGAAGTAAAACAGTTGAAAAAAAATTCTTAGGAAAAGAACAAATGTTCTTCAGTACATCCTTCATTAGTGTATTTTTCACATGGAGGAATCACATCAGAAAAAGCTCAGTGTGACATGTTGAATTTTGTCATGTGCCAAAGCTTTAAAAACTTGTTTCACAGAATAACAATGGAGTATTTTTGTGTGATTACAAGAAAAGATTTTTTCCCTAGGAGTCAAGCATGTAGACACAAATGTGACTGACAATGCAATGCTTTAAGAAAACCATCAATGCTTCTGATAATCAGGACAATATTTTTTAGAGCAATTAAATTATTTCAGATGAAAATTAGACTAAAGTAGAAAACACAATCATTTGTTTATAATTTAATGCAAGCAAATTTAGGTGAGTTTAATGCAATTGCAACTGATTAATTTTTAACGATATGGAAAATTAAAACAATTTGGACAAGAATTAAGCTTCTGGTTTTGGGTTATGACAGCTAAGTCATTTAAGCCCATTTCAAAATTAGGCTGTTAATGTAAATATTATTTAAAATAAAGCCTGTGAGGGGAAAAATGTATAGACTATGGAGATTTTGCTCTCTACAGTGTAGTTTCAAATTAGGTTTAATCTAGTACATGAACAAGATTTGCCATGCTTTGTAACTTGCTTAAGTGAATGGATGCAGCCTGCCTACCATATCAATTAAAGTGCCTCATTTTGTAGTTTAGAAAATGGAGCAACACATGGTCATAAAAACTACAATATTTGCAGTAGTGCTCTCTCTCAGAAAATGAAGCTGTTGTTGCCAAAGCCTCCTCTTGTAACGTGGAGATCAAATCTGGTGTTCCTCCCTTGTATTCCCATGGTCAGAGAGAATTCAGAGTAAGACCTGGTGCCTTGGTTGCCCAGAGCCTTCAATTCAATCATTTTCACAAGCACATTAAAATTTAATTTAAGTAAAATTGCTTGTTTATTGCTTTACTCTATTTCTGCCTTTGAAGAAATAATAGGCTGGTATTTTGAAGAAATGCATAAAACTCAAGTAGATGGATTGGATAAGTTTTATAAATACTATAGTTTCACATAAATGGGAATTTATAATTTTTAGTTTGGGCACAAAGAATATCATAACTGTAGAACAGTGCTGCCTTTCAACATTTTATAACATCCTGGCTTGTACAGTAAATATGAATTGAGATTTTAAACGCTCTGATAGGAAGGCTGACTGTAGAATAAACAGGGAGCTGCTGATACACAGCTTTAGTTTTAGTGAGAAAATCTTCAGTGGTAATGCTATTCCATGATGGAGTTTAAATTTTTTTTCTGCAGTTTCTTCTTTTAAATTGTTTTTTTGTTCCACGAAAGAAAGTGATAGTTAAATAAGGTTATAATCAACATAAAAACCTGAAGAGTATTTTAGAGCTTCTGTCAATTAGGGCCACTGTTGCAAGGGTTCCTGCAGCTGAGGAGTGTCTGGTGACTTTGCAGAAACAAAGTGTGCATGGAATCATTTGGCAGCTAACGCAATTTTTGTGTTTAGCTAAAGCCAAACTTCTTCAAATATGGTAAAAATATGAGGAGATGTCATTATATTTGGAATGTGAACAGGAATCTGCCTTTTTAATGTGCAAGTATGTTTTGTAAAGGTGGGGAAAAAATGTTTACAGATAATCACACGTGTTGTTTTTAAATAAATCTTTCCTCAGGAGAGAGAGCGAAGGTCGCCAGCATTTAATCTTCATATAACCACCTTCCCTGAAAACAATGGAAGTGCACTTCAACTGTTCTGTCATCAGGAAGGAATAAAGGTATATGCAGAGCATTACAAACAGTTGGATGGCTAGGAACTTTTTTGTAATGACCAACATAATATCCAAACAAATTGTTTGGCATTTGCCAGGGAAGAAAACATGAAAAAATAAATTTAGTAAGAAAAGATATTTTTAAGCCGGGAAAGGATTTCATAAGAATCTGTTCGGGTAGTCAATCAGGAGTTCCTCAATGAAAATGAAGGCTGATCCATCAAGATAATTTACATTCGGTCTGGGGAAGAATGTGGAAGTTGATGTGATTCATTGTCAGACTTGCTACACTACATTGTTCTTGATATTAAATGTTTTATCTAAGTTCAGAAATATGACATTCAGCTATTATTTTATACCCAATTTAGTGAAGCATTTTGTTTGTTGAATGAATATGCTTATTTGCCTAGGCCAGGGCCTTGAAGCATGAGCTGCCTGATCCAAACTCAGATAGGTGGAACTCTGTCATTTTAGATCAAGCGCAACACAAACATCAGAATCTCCCTTGGTTAGCTTTTGCTAAGAGGAAGCAAGAATTACTCTTTTCACTTCTGTTCACCCATGAACAGGCTAGCTGTGACACTTGATTTGCATGGTGCTTCAGCTAAGATTGAATTCAGACTTGTGCTGTCAGTAATGTTGCACAACAGGCCAGGGTAACTTTTCTACAAGTAACTAAGGCGTAATCTTAGTGCCATAGTGATTTATGCTAATATTTTTAATTGTGTTTACAAGTCCTCTTATAAGAGGCTTGCTCCTATTCAGTGCCTTAATGAGCACAGTACGATCTCTGGAGGAAACGAACTGAAATTGTAGGCTGCATCTTTTTAGGAAGCTCAGTAGTCTAAAAGAAAAAAGTTAAAACCTCATTCTTACCTACAGGTTTGGTTGGATACTCATCTCCCTAACCACACCAAGAGTCATCAATTAGCGTATTACCTTTCAAACAGAACCTCCATGGGATGCCAGACCTGCTTTTAGCTTATCCATTATTCTCATTCGCATGTTGGCTGTTATCGGGTACAGGGTACCAGGATCTAGAATTCCTGTTTTTCCCCATTGTCTACTGTGACACTCCTTAACAGCAATGTTCTTTTCGGACTGACCTTCAGTTTACTTACCTGTAAGGAGAGGCAGTCACCTAACATGAGCATACTGAAAGTGCTGACCTTTTATCTGTTTTTAGTGTTTTTCAAAGTTGTTAGCTATCAGTAGCACGGTAGGTTCCAAAATGATGCAAAATCTGGTTTGGTTTCTAATTCATCCTTTATACTTCATATGGAAATAAATGAATTAGAATGATTATTTCTGGCTCAATAGATGTAAAACCTTGCATGTCTTAGTGAATTCAATTTCTCACTAGCATTACTGTTTGGCTAAAGAAGTTTCCATTCAACATTGTCATTGCTGATCATAATCAATATTTTGTTTTTCACATCGTTCCAAACACAAGTGTATTAAGATGTGCACCACTCTAGAGTTAGTGATGTGCAGCGTTAAATAGCTAATGTAACATTTGGGAACACCAGTGAAGTTTTGGGAAGAGAGGAAAGAGAGGGAGGGACTTCTCAGGATCGAACAACTTGAACACAACACTTTACTGGACTAATTTGTATGTTCTCTCCCACATCTGTGTCTGGTCTTCGGGAAATCTTTCATTTCTTGTTGAGCCTTCCTCACTGGAGTCTGTTGAATATAGAATCATGAGCTAATATATTCTGATGTAGCTATGTAATTTGCAAGCATAGCTGGTTTAGCTTTAAAAAGCATTAAAGATTGATTATCCTGACTACTGACATAATGCAGTTGCCCAAAGCATAAATGCAAAGCAGCACGTTATGTACTGAAAGCAATGAAACAAGTGAGCCAAGATCCTTGTGAAATACTGGCCTCTTCTAAGCAGTGCTAAATATGAGCAGAAGTTGAGGGTGGCAGAGTTTAACAAGGCTGGTTTGCTTTATGTACGTGTATTAAGCATTTTGGGCTCACACAAACTGATGTTTTCCCGTGTTGTCAAACCTTCCTACTTTTTAATAACATAGCTGCACACAACCTGTCAACAGAAATGATCCCTGGTCCACGTGAACTTGTGGCCCATACTTGGATTAGTTCAGGAGAATGTGATTAGGGCAGGTTAGACAGTTCCATGACCCCTTCCAACAATTTTTTAAAGTAGAAAATAGAGTTCTGGGACCTCGGAATGGACCCTGGCACAGTGCAAAATAAAAACATCATGTGAATTTATTCCTTTCTCTTTCTCTCTCTCTCTCTCTTTTTTTTTTTTTTTTTTTAATCAGAGCAATGTTTCTCTTTATTTCAGTGGCTGGGCCTTAATAAGGAGGGGTTGTTCAGTTCTTTTTGTGGATCTGAGAGCTGACTGGCAGAGAAACATATCTTTCTACTCACAAAGGTTATGAGCTGATGGTGTTTGGAGGAGCATGTTCAGCCCTCTGTGCACATTCCCTTCTGACACTGTGAGGCTGATTTGAAACTCCATACTTTTGTTTATCAACAAAAATAAAAAGCAAACAGCAAATCACCCAGTGAACCTTCTTAGCAATTGTTTTGTTCATACTCTCTGTCCTTTTAACTTCTGTAGGTTGATGTGGTTGATGCTCCACTCCAAACAAACAAAAAAATGTTTTTTAAACCTTTTGTCTTTAAACACTCTTTTAAGCCTGTTTATCAGTTTTGATTGTTCCTCTACATACATTAGCAGGATGATAAATGTGAGTGGTGCAGGAACATTCTGCCCTCATGCACAGACATTCAGCTTTCTTGCTGTAATCAAAAGTGACATTTTGTTTTGTCTTTGAAAGTATCAATAACACTTCTGTAATTGTGATGCAAAACTACTGTTTCACTTATTTGTAGTCTTTTTGCATGCAGAAGTGAATAAACAGCACATAAAACGTAGCATATAAAATCTATTTCTCACCTACTTTAAAAAAAATAAGTGTTGAACATCTTTTTCAGGACGTGAATATATCTGAGCTTATGAAGAAACTAGATATTCTTGGAGATAATGGGGTAACAAATTTTTAATTTTAAATATATCTTCAGTTTTATGGTTAATTTAATGCATTTTTTTCTCCACAGCTGATAATAACATCCTAGAAAATACAGAGGGTGATTTTTACATGCCTATATGTATTTGTATGAAGAATATGAATGGTTAGGTACTGCTTTCACAAACTTGAAATCTTTCAGTTAAACTGATACCAGTGAAAAGCATATTTTTTTAAGCTAGGATTTGGTCTTGACTGAATGATGTAGAAAAAGGCACTGAAGTAGGCAGAGGGAAAAGATAATACCCAGACGAGATATAAAAGGAAATAAAACCAGATTTAAAACAGAAATGAAAGCCAGACCAAGTTGTTTGTGAGTTTTTTCTTTTGAGTAGTAACAGTAGCACCCACTACTGTGAAGGCTGTTTTCTGCCAGGAGTGGATTTTCTGGGAGAAAGGCAAGGATAACTGTCTCCCGTTCTTCTACAGTGCCAAATACAGAATAAAATCTTGGTCATGCAGTTGTGGCACAAACATCCAGGGAACTGGGTCCAGTTTATAGCTACCCTTAACAGATTGAACTCTTTATAATGCTAGTTTTAAGTTCTAGATTTACATATTATGTTGAAAGTTCTATGAAGGTTTCTATGGTACTTGATCTTTGCATTGTTTTCATTAGTGGGAAGTCTAGCTCTGAAAGTGCACGAAGGGGAGATTCACTTGCTGTAGGGCCATAGTCCAATTAACAGGCCTAAGGGAAAAAAAAATTCAAAATCGCTGACAGACACCACTTAACTTTCATCAAATAATAAATTGTTGCAAAAGCATTGGGGAGATGATGTACTGAAATTGAGTGGAAACTAAGCACTCCTGGTTTAACTTTCAATACTTTTAATAATGGGATGCTTTTTTGGTCACGTCTATAATTCTAAATGTAATAAATTATTTATTTTTTCAAGTATAGTTATTTCTTGTGTTAAAGGATGATTTTTTGACCCAGTTTAAAATGCATCTTTTTGTATTTTAGAATTTGAGAAATGAAGAGCAGGTTGCAATAATCCAAGCTGGGACTGTGCTTTCCCTCTGTGAAAAGGTAGAATTCTGTAAATGTTTTTCTCTGCTGAAAATTGAACATGCCTTCTACGATATCACATGACTTTGCCAGGGAAGCATGATTTTTCTGTTTGGGTCATCTGGATTTGCGCATGTATTCATCCTTACATGAGTGTTGGGATTGTGATGTCTTGAGGTAAAATCAAACTTACAAAACCCTCCCCAGTTTAAAAATAAAGACCTGTTTTAGAGGTATTCCCCATAAAGTACTAAAAAGCCACTTAACACAAGAGGTTTCATTCTCAGAAGTGCAGATGTCCTCAGTGCTCTGGGAACATGTTGCTGTGACGTCCTTGGTGAGGTGCCCATGGTACATCTCAGGCTCGTTTCTGTGGATGACTGAAAAAGCTCAGAGTAGTCAGTGATCCTTTCCTCTGTAAAGTAGTGGACATAGAGAAAAAGTAGTTTGTGCAAGGTAAGTGTTCAGTCAGGTCACTCATTTCTGCATGACTAGTTCTTTTCTTCTCAGTTACAGAGGCAATATAATCTGTATATGAATAGGGGTGATATTTAGAACTAAGCAAGACTTGCATATTTCTCTAAAGAAACCTCTGTCCATCCTTTTCATATATTTCTGTTAAATCTTTCCTAGATGCATTCTTGAAATTCAGAATCAGAGCTTTGAAATTAAAATTCGAGCATTTTGCAATAATTACTTTATTTGGTATAATTTTGATAATCTACTTATCTCAATATCTTGAAGTAGATAATCTACATTAGGTAATTTAAAAATCATTAATTTGAGTGAGTGATTGCTATAAGCGAAGTAAAAATGAGGAAAAGTGCTAAAATCTGTATATTTTTCATTGTGGCATTAAAAGGGAAGGGGATGATTTTAACCCTTTACATCCAAAAATGAAATGGGAAGAACCTCAGTATAAAAGGTTAAGATAGAGACTCCTAAATACATGGTTGTCTTTTCTGTCCCCCTTGGTTCCAGAAAGGCTTACAGGCGTAGGAAGGTCAGAATCAACATTTAGTTTTGCATATCATGCATACCTTCAAAAAAATGAGACCTCTAATTTTTGCAAATAGCCCTTCACTTGATTGAGGGTAGCTGTGAGAGATGCCCATTTCTATTAATTTCAAGGGTTCAGAATGCTCACGGTCTTGCTGAGTATCAGAGGTGAGGCTTCCCTTAGGAATATCTTCAGCTTGTCACCTTCAAAATGAAGAAAATAAAGATGGTGAAAATGGAATCTCTGGGGAATATAAGGTTCCTGTTCATTTTTTTTTCCCTGTAGAAAGTAGGTAAAACAAATTTCCCTTTTTTATTCACCGGTCTCTTAAAAAGTGGAAGATTCAAAATGATGAAATAATGAATTCACATTTCGTGTATTTGTAAACTTATGTTTGAAATTTCGTATCTAAATCTTTGGGGAAAAAAACTGGTGTGTCATTAATTCCTTTGAGTCTGAGCCCTGATGAATTCACCAAAACTCTAAATTAAAAAAGGTGATGTGCAATGCTTACTAAAAGAATTAAAGCAAATATGAGTAGTCCAATGTTAGTAAGCAAGGCATTTGAGGAAAGTGATAATTCTCAATGGCAAAGTTACATCTGGTTTTAATGGGAGCTGGTGCTACAAAAGGAAGCATTAGTCTAAACTGTGCTCTCCATAAACTAGTCATTGATCCTTATTGTAGACCAGTAGGGAAATGAAATAAAACAATTAATTCAGAACTGAGCTTGCCCATCCATTCCAATAAACTTAAATGTGAAATATTAATATAAGCCCAATGATGGTTAGTGATTAAGCAAGAAGCTTGTATCCATGCATTTAGCTATTACAATATGTTATTTTTTTCTTTAGAAAGCAAAGAATGCCATTCTTCTTCATTCTTATTGGTTTTTTTGGTCACCAGAATGGTGAGGGATTCATTGTAGCAATTACAAGAACTTCCATCTGTCTGTCTATCTGTCTGTTTGTTTTGCTTTTTCCTCCACATTACTGATATTTTAGAAGTGAGCCTCTTCCCATGAAGGGTGCAGCAAACTGTGCAAAATCAAGGACTGAATTTTCCACCTTGTCTTTTGTTTAAATTGCTCTCTGAAAAAATGAAGGAGTGGATGCCTGAAGTCAGATGATGGTTTTGCAAGCATTGTGCTTGTTGGTATATCATGTAAGAAACGGATTGATTTTGCATTTTGACCCAAGTTTATTTTGTATCTTGAACTTTACAGGAGAAAAAAAAATTGATTTACTGCAGGAAAGCAACTTCCACTTGCTAGTCCTTAATATGTCCTTGCAGTCTTCCATTCTGCCTATGTTCTCACAGCCTGTTTATTCATGTGGAACTTTGAAGTGAATAGATAGCATGTGCCTGGAAGTGCTGGCAACAAACTTTAAAACTGTTTGGTACCAATTTTTTCAAAAGCCCTATTTTTCTTTCATTTTTCTGTTTTTTCCCCTTCACATTGCTATGTTCTTGTAGTGGTTGAAACAGATAGAGGGGACAGAAGCTGCACTGACACAGAAGATGTTAGACCTGGAGAATGAAAAGGTAAGGAACAGTAGCTAAAAGTGTAATTCATTTAGCTAAAACTCATTTTGAGGGAATGTGTATAAACTTCGTCCCAGGTTGATTTGCTGCCTTTCTCTGCTTAACAGAGATTGCTTCGTGATAAAATAGGCAAGAGGTTTCTAGAACAATCTATTGCTTGTATTCTTTGGGGTGAGAGGGAAATGTCAAATCTATATAGAACAAAAATAGCATATTATATACAAATTAGGGCACAAGTGCATAATAACAGAGCATATTGACCAAACAGTATAAAATTGTCTGTGCTTTCTCTGTGTATTAATTTGTCTGGCAACAGCATTGTCTTTTGAATCTTGAGGTCATGTTGCTAGAATTGTCAAGGGTATTTCTTTGCTCTCTGGTACTCAGCTTCTGGACAAGCTGTGAAGACCTCTTACTCCAGATAACCTTTCTTGTCTCATGGTCTTCATGCCTAAAGACAGAATGTTTTCTCAAAAGCAATTCTGTCTTGCAGAACAAACTGACCTTATTTTTCCATATGTCGAACCAAGAATTTTAGAAGGTGTTAATTTTTATTGGTTTACCATGCATGCTGTGCTTGCATCTTCAAATGGTTTTCCAAACACTGATTAATCCTCACCACACCTTTTATTGGTAGATAAATAATTAGCATTACATCCATCCTAAAGAATGGGACAATGAGACAGGGAGATTAAGTGATTTGCCCACGGCCACTGAAGAAGTGTGTCTTTGAGCCACAAACAAAAAGGAAGTGCTCAGACTGAAGTGCTCTGTTGAGTGTAGCCTTTCATGCTCATTGTAATGTAATGTAGATATAATCCTTCCCAAATTTAGTATTTCTTTATTTTTTAACTCTTGTTATGGAAAAATGCAAAAGTTTTGGGAAGGGAAAGTGCCCTCAAATACTAAATTCTTTTGTAAAAAGAATTGGAAAAACATAATTTCTTTATAACTTGGTTTATTATCTTCCCACTTACTATCTGTGATGTTTTTAACTCTTACTTTGGGTAACCCTTGCATCTATTTGTTTAGCACACCAATCTGAGAATCTGCATCACTAATGATTGACTCAATCATGAAATGAGTTGAGAAATAACATTCTAACATGATGCTTTCAGAAGGACTGAGCACTTGTTTAGTCATCTTTGGAACCCATGTTAAGGATTTGAGGTCCTATTCTTGTTACCTTCCCTCTTGCTTTTTGTGGGCAGCTTTTACCATACCTTTTTGAGAAGTAACATGATCAGGGCAGCTGTGTTGCTTTTCTGGGATCTGGTGGTGAACTCAACTGAGCTGATCTGACCCTCTCTATAGTCTCAGGCAAGTCAGTCTAGTTCTCTGGTGTCAGACACCTGTAAGCATGTCAGGACCAGGCCTGTCCTTTACTATGCAGTTCATGGTAGTGTTGCATCTTGTACAACAGCCACCAGCCATTGCTGTAATCCATCCCCATCAGAAAATGATGCCACTTGGGTAGTCAAGGTGGGATTCAGTTGCATAAACATGGCGTCTAATGCCACATTATATTCTTCAGAGTTCTGGAGATGTCCACAAGGGGCTGACAAATATGTCCTATGGGACTTGGTGGAGATCCCTGCCCTTCTGGACCAGTAGCTGAAGCAACATATTCTAAAATGGGTATCATAGCTATAGATACCCATCTGTGTGTAATCAAATTCCAGCCCCAAGATCAAGATCTGACTTAGACTTTGGCTTTTCCTTCAGTATCTATTAGTAGGTAATTAAAAGAACTACAAGTTTACGAAACAAATTAATAATAAATATTATGCTTCTTATACAGAGAACAAATAGCACCTTATTCCTCTGAGTCCTTTAATATTGGTCTTATATGTTTCTACTGTCACCAATTCTGGGTTGCTCTTAAGATGTGGGAGGTCATCTGCAGTCATTTTATGCTCCAAGCCCCTCCAAAGCAATAATTTGGTGATTAGAATGGATTTGTTTTAAAGTAGATGTTTGGACTGAGAATTCATCATCATGGTTCATGCTTAGGCAAGATCTGTGTCAGTGCTATGCTGGCAGCTGACAGTGAAGTTGTCAGAAGTCCACATATATGTCTAAAGGCAAATTTGGCCAAATAAGTGACTTTGGGGCAATCCCATATCCAATAAAACTAACTGGATCCGCAATGTTTGATTTTTTTGATACTTTTAGTAAAGGCTGCAGTTAGTCATCTTAAGAACCCTATGTATTAAATTTGGCATTTATTCTATATGTTGAGGAAATTAAAAAATTTGTTGAATAGAAAAAAGAATGATGGAAAATATTGAATTCACTAAAAGGGCTTCTCTGCTTTCTGGTCTACTACTAATTTTTTTGAGCGTGAAAACATGTCTCGAAAGAAAAGCTAATAAAATCGAATAACTGTTTTATGTTCTACTTACTATCACCCAACCTGGTCTAGGGGAAGGTGCCCCTGCCCATGGCGCAAGGGTTGGAACGAGAGGGTCTTTGAGGTCCCTTCCAACCCAAACCATCCTATGATTCCACGATCCAAAACACTCTAAAGGCTTGACTATTCAGACAACCATTTGAATGTCCACAACTTACTTGCAACATCATGCTTTTGATACCAAATTCCACTGAAATCCCAGTCTTTGGAATTTATATTTTTGTATATATGAAATAACTGTGAAAGTTGAGTAGCTTGATTTTTAAAAACAAAAGTAAAATATTCCTGTAAATCCTAGGCATCTTGAAAACTTCTCAGCTCTTCAGCTAGTCACTCAACCTCTCTAGGCATCATTTTACCCATTTCAAATTGGCTTGAAGACCGAGTTGTTATTTCTGCTTCAATAGCACAGCACAGAATGGTGCTGCAGAACCCAACTGCAGACCTGCATGTTCATGTTTCCTCCCTAGAAGAACAGGCTAGACAACAGAAATTAGGGTTTGCCCCATGATTTCCTTAAGGATATGCATGGGACATTTTCAGAAAAGCCATAAAGTGCCCTCACTTGTGTTTCTCTTTTTTTCTCCCTTGCAAGTTATGGCTATGGACCACATGCATGCACACCCCCATTCACCTCTTGCTGCTCTCTGCACTTCTGTCAGGTCCAGGCAGGTTTGTACACTGGTGTAGAGGTCAATACTTTCTAGGTACAACTTGTTAATATAATACATGTATTTGAAGTGCTAGTATTGTTAATTTGATATTCCAGTTATCCTTAGGATGAATGTGGTCATTTGCTGTAGATTTTCATTTGCTTTCAAATGGAAAGCTTGTGTAAAAATGATGGCATTTATGATTCTTCATGAATTAGGATAAAGAACAAACACTCCCTTGTTTTTATTATTGCTCAGGACCTGTTCAGTAAACAGAAGGGTTATTTAGAGGAAGAACTCGACTACAGGAAGCAAGCTCTGGACCAGGCTTACATGGTAGGAAAAGAACAGTCATTAAATTTTTCTGTTTGAACAGATTTGATAAAATGCAGGGGTTTTGTTTTTGTTTCTTTTAATTATAAATAGGGTTCTTTTTTTCTTTATATCTCTTTTTCTACCAGACTAGAAATCAACTATTACTTAAATGAAAACTTAGGAAATGGGTTATAGTACTTACAAGTGTAATGTTTTTGCATTGCATTTTTTATTCTATTATATATAAACATCTTGTTAGTACATCTCAAATGAGAAGAGCTTGTTTATGTATGCAAAAAACTGACTAGTAGAATACACCAGAAATTACTTTTCTAATATTTCTCTTCCTGAAGCATTTGTAAGTATTACTGCTGCTAACTGATCCTAAATCAGGAATGCCTGTTCTTCCTATGGGATTCCTTTCTGCATGGTCCCATCCAACCTTACCCTTCCTAGTTTTCAAAAGGGAAGCTGCAACCTTGCCTTTTCTCAGGCTGAGCAACAATTAGGAATTATCTAGGAATTGATAAAACTGCATACCCAACTTTGTTAATGGTGAGACTTCAGGAAATCAACATACAATGTTCTGAAGCATTATTTATACATTGTAAATGTTTCTTATGGGGAAAATATTTTCAGAAAAGAAGCAAGGTCTAGTGCTCAGAGCAGATAACAGAGATAAAAGCAAGCAGGCTCTATTTCTAGCACTGTGACCTTGGGCAAGCCATTTAACCTCTCTGTGCAGCTGTTTATGCATCACTAATATGGATGGAATTACCTACCTCACAAAGGTGTCATGAGGGCTAAAGGGATGTGGTCAGATACTCTTGATCCAAATATTGTCAGTCTGAATGCTGGTTTTTAATAGGATCATACTCACCCCAGTAATCATGGAAACACTGCCATGATTCCCTTCTTTTCTCTTGGGAATACAGTTCTCCATGTGAATGTGAAGTTCTCCTGTATTTTCTGCTTTGCAAAGTACTGCAGTTTTGGCCAGTGCATGAGAATCATGTTAGGAATCTGGCAAACAGCAAGAGATGGTTGAGGGATCAGTATATACAAGTATATGAATGTTCCTCTCTCCATTGCTTATGGCAACTTGGAACTTAGCCACTGACATAGACCTGGGGCCATGAATGTCAGGATAGTGGGGCCAGAGAGAGAGAGAGAGTAAGATTTCTATTCACAGTTTTTCATGTGGTCTTTTTATTTTGTAGGATGGCTTAACAATTCAGTTGCAGTTGAAGGAAATCTGTTAGTTTGCATCGAATTTGTTATGTTCAGCATCAGGATTTGGAGTTTTGTCAGGTGTTGAGTGCAGACCTATCATCTCAATCTTTCTTAAACAGAAGAATCAATAATTTACTAGAATAGAAACCATCACTTGGGTGTAAATCAGTGCCAGGAGGCTGCGTGCACTCTGTGTGGAATGCTCCTCACTGCTCACGACTGCCGCTTTCTGTCCACCTGTCTGTGTCTGTCCTTCCCTACTGCCTAAAGCTTTGCTTGCTGGCCTTCTCCTCTAGCTGTTGGTGGGTCGTTTGCTTGCTGGATTCAAATGTCAGCCTGTCTGTGTGTGATTTGGGTTGCATTAGAAAATCCAGGAGCTGGAAGCCACGCTGTATAATGCCCTGCAGCAGGATCCAGGAAGGCGGGCGAGCGAGTCTCTGACAGAAGCCCAGAGGGAGGATCTGCGAGCTGCAGTGGAGAAGGTGCGGCGGCAGATCCTGAGGCAGAGCCGTGAGTTTGACAGCCAGATCTTGCACGAGCGAATGGAGCTGCTGCAGCAGGCACAGCAGGTAATCCCGGTTCTCCCTCCTCCCTGTCGTTGGTGTTATCTCTGTGGTTGCCGCCACTGCCCATAAACAGCATCACTTCACCCCCACCTCGTGGAGTTCTGTTTAGTCTATTCTCTGTACAGCTCCCGTGCCAAGGAGCGATGTGGTGTTAGGACCTGGTTGCGCTGGGCATGGTGCACACACAAAACAAGTCACTGTCTCACCACAAGGTCCTGTTGCACAGCCTGTTTCATGTGTGTACAACCACACAATCTTCCACAGGACTCTGAGGGGAGCGTGTTGCAAGTTTAAGGCGCAAATTAGAAAAAGCCAGAATGGAGGGTTGCAAGAGTATAACACTATGAAAAGAGGAAAGGCAGAAGCAGCAGTTACAGCAATCCAAGTTTTTAATTTTTTTTCCCTTTTCAATTATTTTAGCTATTTGTGAAATTTTTTGAATAAATAAAAAAGAGAAAGTCATAGGAAGCCTTTTAAAAGGCCATTTACAAGCTTTCACACCTTCATATTAGTTTAGAAAAGCCTTGTCTGTCCAAACTACTTCATTAAGGACAAGTATTGACAACTTGAATTTGGCAAGGTCCTGGCCTATGGAAGTGTGGTAATTACTTACTGTTGGTAGAATTGGTAGTTTTTCTGTGCAAATATTCAGGGGCAGAAGAGAGCTGCATGTCTCAAGGTGTTAATTACTGCAGCAGAAATAATTGTTCCTGAGGATTTTTGTTCCTCACTATAGTAACCTCTGAAAGTTGCATGCAGATGTCTTAAATTTTGAGGACTGCTCTCCAGTTGCGCTGCTACTTTTTGTGCAAATATGGAATCATATATTGTAAATGCTAAAATGTGCTATGCAGATGTGTCCAGAACATTGTCGCTATTTCAGGTGCTGGGGTAAGAACTGCTTTTAGTTTAGTTCAAGCCCCTCTCTGTTCAGGTTGGCTTTGTAGATGAATATAGATGAAAGTGATGTAATGTGACCCAGCACTGTTGTGATCATCTCCTGTCATCCTGCAATGATGAGAAGTGCTTATGGTGTCAGTGTTAGATCTGAGCTCTAACTTCCTAGAAGTTTCCTTTCTCTTACTCCTTGAGGAATGTGTAACACTGAGATCAAGAGATGAACTTATTTAATGGGTATCATCTATTTTCAGTCATCAGTGATGGTGCACAGAAAGCTGGAGAAGGTAGGTACCAGGTGGCACTAGAAGTGTCAGAAAGAGAGAGTAAACATGTTAAATTTGGTAAATGAGAATGGAGCCAGAAGTTATTAGTTTAATGTTATTAGTGTAGCTGAAAATTAGTGAGACTAGAGGTTTTTGGCAGTCTCTTAGGCAGTCCAATTTCCTAGCCAGACTGCTGGTGTTTTGTTCAGAACAATAATGCAGTGCTTTCCAGTTAGGTAAACATTATTTGCAAATGACATTTAATGGGTATGAATGACATTGTGTCTTGAGGATGCCTCCACACCTAAATAATATACAGTTTCAGATTTTAACATGAGACTAGATACAGTTTGGTCTTTGCTTTCACTAGGCATGTAGTTTGACACTGTTTGAAGGACTGCTATTGGCTAGGGCCTTTCTGTGGCCCACTGGTGGATGTGCTTTTTGGGGAACCTGGGCAGAGCTTCCAAGTTAAGCTCGTATAATATTGGCAAATAGAAAGGGAAAAGTAGGATTAAATTTGTAGAGTGAAACAGTTGTTCCTGAGAACTCAAAGTCCATACTATGTGCATATCTGGGGTGTAACTTGAACTCAGTTCCAATTTGTTCCATGGCCTGCTCACTATCAGTCAGAGCACTTTGTGTGCACATCTGGAGCACATCTTCTGTTTGAGTCCAGTTCATGTATTCATAAATTGCTTCACAACATAAAGGTAAGTATCATGAGCATAGAAGAAAACAAAACTGCTAGCATAACCATGCATGTTTATGTACCTGCCTTCAGATCTATTTTATAGTGTGCCATTGGAGTTTCATGTTGTGCCCATCTCATTAGACATGCTAATGTTACAGCCCTGCAAGGCATGAACTGAATTCTACTACTTACGAAGGAGCTAAGTATTTTAGTAATCTATTTTTAACACACACACATACCCATGGCCAACACACATCCCCTATTAAACAGGAAAAAGAAAGGCAAAGATGCTAGTTAATTTGCCTGGGTTATGGGAGAGCTAATTCTCACAGCATTACTTTCATCTACACTAGCAAATGACAGAAGCTGCATGTATTTCACAAATGAAACCATACTTGTGCTGGCAGAATCCTCATGGATGGATGAAGCTCCATTAAGGACAGTACAACCCTGATGCTTTGTTAAATGAATCCACTCCTTTCCTTATGTATTTATGGACATGAGAAGTTTTGCTGACATTGTGACATCAGCAAACACCCATCACACTTTATACTTCAAAACTTTAGTCTAGATCTGGTCATATTTTACAGTCTGCAGTGGCTTTACAGTACACACCATACCTCTTGCTCTGCAGAAGATGAGGCTACAGAGAATGATAGGACAGCATGATGGACCTGCAAAGCTTAATACAGAATCTTCTTGTTGCAAACACTCTCAAACTTTCCCTGAAACAAAAATCATGTATTAAAAACTCCAAATTCTCTGAAACTTTGGGAGTTTGATCACTTCCATAAGGGCTTTTTCTTTGCTTCCATTACCTTCTGGTCTGACTGATAGAAGGGCTTCAAAGGAACAACTCTGTTTATCCTGGTAGGCTGGCAAAAACCTCCTCTGAGTTAGAGTTTCTGTGTCAGACATGGAGTGGGGGTTCAAGAAATTCTGATGATGGAGAAGGAGGAATTTCCACCTTCTGCCTGTAAGTGATCCTTCACTGTACTTGCAGGGTGCAGAAATGGTAAGGCATGTGATAAATGCTGCAGGTTGGTCTGCAGGGTTTATTAATAATTAATTGCTTCTTGCAAGGACTTTGAGGATTTAGCGTGTGAGATGCTGGTTTTACAGAGCTGGTAAATGTACTTCCTGGGGAAAGTACCATCTGAAAGGGGCAGGGAAATGCATAAGAAAATGGGTAAACAGTTGCCCAAGTGTGAGCCTGTGCTGCTTTATGGGAGCTTCTTTGTCCACATGGAAAGCCTTAGTTCTTATCCACAGGGTATTGACTTTGTTCCAGTGAAATAAATATATTTTAGGATTTAAGGCTCTGTATTGCATTGGTAGGTCTGTTCGTCTTGGGTGCATGTATGGCCCCACATTATTATTGTTCATTAGTATATAAATGGAACCATTTATGTATACCCATGGTGGATTAAGGAAACCAGGCCTCTGTGGAGCCAAATTAGACAGACTGTGTGATTAGATCTGCTTGCTAAGGCACAAAATGCTTTTATTAAACCCAGAGTGCAGCTTGCAGGTCTGAGGGACAGATCCTCAGCTGAAGCATATTGGCAGTAGTCCCTAAGTCAGAGAAGGTGTTTTGATTTATACCATCCTCTCTATTTGGAGGAGGTAATATATGTTAATTAAAAATCTGTCATGAGCAGCTTGTGATATTTGCTTCTAGCAATAGGGTATGTGCAGTTCAACCACCATTCCTGAGTATATTGCCATCTAAAATGTCTCACTGTTCTACATTGTTATAAGCTTTTATAAATCAATGTCCGGTTTATTTTTAGCAGGACTTAATTTAAAAGTAACACTTGTGCTCTATTCAGTGCAGTGGCATGACTTTTGTGCTTTTGGAAAATATGAAGGTCATTATTAGCAGGTTCTGCTAAGAAGGGTAATTTTTTATATATATAGGATGCTAAGTAATTTCTAGAGGGAGAGAAAAAAAATCCATCTCTGAGAGAAGATATTTCAAAGGGAGCAATACAACGTGTTTCTGAAGTGATATCAACTTCCTAATGAAGCAAACTCAAATATAAAAACCAACCAACCAACCAAACTGCCCAAAAAAAACCAGCACAAAAAATCCACACAGCATCATGGTTAGTACACCTTAAAATTACATTGCAATTATCTTATCTGCTGAAACTAGTAAATATTTAAAGGTCAAATTATGTTTTATGTAAACCAAATAAAGTAAAAACCTAAATATATTCCTGTTAGTTTTACTGTAGCTGCTTCTGGAGTATGAAACTGTCAAAAGTCATCAGAACCAGGCTTTAAATTAGGATACGTTAATTCAAATTGCACTGTTGACAGTATTCAAACATGAAGAAAATTTATAAGAGAAATATAATTTATTCTGATTTCATCTGAAGTTATTTTAAATTCAAAGAGAAGCTAGAAAATCCTTGAAGAACAGCAGACTGACACACACTCAGTTCCAAAAATGGTTGCTGCCAGTCATAAAGGATGTGAGAGACAGATTTTATTAATGTAATCTAGTCATTTCCCACAGTAGTCTTATCTTTGTATAAAATAATAAGAAAAAAAAGAAAGAGAAAAGATATATTAGTTCATTGTGTCATCAGGAAGTGTGAAACTTTTTTTCTCTGAGTTGCACTGTAGTAGTGTACCAAGCTGAGGGTGTTTTATTCTAACTTGAGTTAGAATGTTCTTGGGTGAAGCTCACTTTTACAAAGTAAAAGAAACAATTGCTTCCGTTCCAGACCTGAATATAATAAGATTTTGGACTGATGAAGTCAACCAAATTCCAACTTTAAATGGGTGGAATATAGCTGTAAATATTTTAGCAATGTTTTCTTTAAACTATGTAATTTACTCCCATGACCAGATTATTCATCAGTAGTAAAAGCAGAAATTACCACTTTATTTGCATGTTTTACTACAAGAAGGCATACCTTTAAGAGACGACAGGTTTAAATCAGAACTGACCTCTCTGTGTCACTGCCATGGAGAAGGATTCACTGCTGATGTGATGCCTTGGGCACTACCTTTCATGGACACCAAGGAAAAGTCAGAAGTAGCGGTGTCTTTTTTCATCCTGAAATGTCAAAATATAGCTTGAAATTGAGAAACAACAAACTAATTTTCTTCATTAAGTTTCTTAGTTAATTTTTTTCTGACCTGAAGAGTGAAATTCTGATTGCTTAAAAATCAAACAAACATTTCTGACATTCTGACATTTCTCCATGAATTCTTCTCTTGTCTCATAGGTAGGACAACTTTTTCACACTGAGAAAGTAGTTTGTTTACAGATCCATAGGGTTGGATGTCACCATATCTATAAAATCATATTGGCTCAGCCATTTAGAATACATATTTGATAGTTTGTTTTTTTTTTTTAATCTTCATTTAAAAAAGATATGTTAATATGGTAATTGCCAGAGTGAAGTAGGAACCTGAGATTTGCCACTTGATATACTACAGATATTCAGGTAAAGCTTGGATAAATCCAGCAGTTGTTCTGCTCCCCTTTGCTGTGTAATTTGTTATGGTTGATAGACCATCTATTTTTTACCCGAGGAGAATTATTAAGGTTTAATGTTTGACTGGGAAGGCACTTGAGGGAGGGAGAGAGCGAGGGAGGATGCTCTGCTCAGTGTACCTCATTAATAGGCATGAGGAGGAGTTGTCTTAAATTTGTCCTGTTTGGCACAATGCTTTGTGACAGAGAGAACAAATTAAAGACAATCACTTCTCTGGCGAGTTGCCTTGATCAAAAACCCACAGCTGTGTCACACAGTTTAGGAATCAGGTAGAAGTATTACTAGTAAGCTTACTTACATAATAATAATTGGGGAGTCTCAGATCATTTTACCTCCAAATCTACATAGATTCAATGGTTTAATGGTTTTATTTTAAATCTGAAGTGTTAAAGTTCTAGAAGTTAATTCCCAGCTATTTGTATGCAACTATACCTGAAGAGGATCACGTAGGGCAACCACTGATTTTTATTTCTTTTTTTTTTGTGGTTACTAGTACTTGCTTAGTATTAATGGTCTGTGCTTTGTTGTTCAAAATTTAATAGATTACTGTTGATATTTCATTTTTTATATTCATGAATGGCTCTTAAAGGCATCTGATATCACAGCTGTATAACTGTCATCAATATTCATCAAGCACATCATGACTGGGCTAATCATAGTCGACCTGTGGTATTGATTTGTCATGCAGGAGTGAACACTGAGTCTTTCAGGGCATCATTGCTGCTATAATGACAATGTCACAATAAACTTTAATTTCTCACAGATCTGCATGGCAGATGAGAGTTAACTTTAATAATTTCTCTGTGTGTATCTTACAGCGTTTCCTTGTGCATGTTTTCTGTATATCTTCAACCGTATCTGCTTTGCTAACTGCCTTAGTGGTGCTACTTGTCTGAATAAGTGATGGTAGCAGGACTGGTGTAATACCTACAAAATATATCTGAAAGGTCTGCTCCCTTTGTCCTAAACAAAGTGTGATTGAGGGTTTTCTGTTTTTTTTTTCCTGTCTGATAATCTGCCTAGTCTGTCAAGGAGTCAGTTTTAAGATGTTGAATGTGTTTTGTCTTCTGAGTTCACATAGACTTAGCATAGCTATTCTGTATAGATATAAGTCTAGTATGGCTTAAATTATTGTTTTTCCCCAATGAAAACAATGGGACTGCTGATATTCCTCTTTTAGATATCAATGTATGTTGTAACATAAATTAAAAGACTCTCAGTGTTAAAAAAAAGAATTGAGTTTACTAGTAAATATTACATACATAGAGTCATTTTGGTATCGGATTATAACAGATAGTTATTTTGGTCTAAATGTATTTATAAAATTCAGTAATTTACTATCAAGATCAATGTGATTGAATACATATGCTGAGAAATGCAGCGCATGGGTGCAGCTGCTAAAAGGTTCATTCTTCTCAGGAAGAAAAATAAAGAAGCTACAAATGCATAATAAAGATTAACAAGAACAATTCCTCTACGTCAGTAACTATTAATTGGATTATTATGGTTAAGACTACAGAACACAGAAAAGAATTAAATTTTTACCTGCTGTGTAAAGGAAATCTTGGTGAGGATCAGAGAGAGACAGTACATCCAAAATGATCTCTTATTATCATATTCAACCGGCTAAAATTTACTATTAGGTTTTCATTCATAAAGTACAGCAAGATGGCAACAAACATAACTTAAGATAATTCTGTTGCAGTGGGCTTTTTTGTTTCCTTATGACCACTATGCAAAATCACATTCTAGGAATATAGAACTAAAGGGAACATTTGGATTCCCAAATCCAAACCCCTTACAGTAGCAGATCCGACAGCTTAAGTAAACTCATGTGACAATTTCCTATGCAAATTGAATTGTTAAAACAGTACAGGTTTTTAAACACCTGTTAAAATACATTAGATTTTAAAACACCTAAGAAATATTTTCATTAAGGAATTTTATCCATCACTTTAGTGATTTGAATAATAGCTAAAGGCAAGTCAGTTTATATTCATCTTTGTTTAAATTCATACATGTAACATAGTTATGCTGTTCACATTATTAAAGATCTTACATACCTGTGTCTTAATAGTGACGAGAATCTGCTTAAAATAATAATATAATGTAAAATTACTGATTCTTCCCCTTGTCAAATTGATAAAATTTTGCCGCAGAATATGTTCTTGATCATAAGATGGCTTCAGAGAGTCAAAACCTCGTTCATGTCAGATACAGTCCACACATGGTGCCTATGCTGTGAACGTACATTAACCTGAACCTTTGCAACATTTCAGAGCCGAGGCTCTAAGCAGCTTAGCAAATCCTTCTTGGTCTGCTTTGTGCTAAAATTATCAAATTGTTTTCTTGGATTTGCTGGTGAATGTAAATCCAATAAGAGCGTGTTACAGGAACTGTTAAGGTAATTTCTAAACCCCCTGTTTAGTACATTCCTCTGTTTTCACAAGTACAGTAGCATGGCAAAGAGCATATTTTGCAGGTAGGTAAATTGATCTTGATATTGCTGTGTGTAAAACATTTGTACAGATGGGCTCTTTACTTACACACTTATCTGGGAAACAAGAACATCAGTTCTGCAGTTTGACACCTTCATGAAGGATCATGTGGTCATCACTGTCACACAAATTTCTTTCCTGATAGATTTTTCCCCATTTGACAAAGCTCCTTGAGGATTTGAAGCCATTCAAGATGTTGGTTCAGGACTGTGAATGGCTGGCTAGTGCTGTGGGTGAATTGGAGAGGAGAAAAGGCTTGGATGAAGAAGTCCACTTCATCTAGCCTGCATCACTGTCCAGTAAATGGAAAACAGAAATTCCTAGAGTCTGTATTTGCTACTAAAAAGATGATCTGAGCTGGCAGATCATGTCAAAAAACCCCCAGAATGTGCACAAGGCACCATGTAATTGTACAGTGACACAGTCCCTTTCTCATCCAAATTTGTGGTAGCATGAAAGACAAGCTTAACCAAATGAGGAAATGTGCACATTTTGGTTGCCTGGTGGAGGAAATCTGGACCTAGCATTTTAAAGTAGTGAGACACTTCAGTATACCTCAGATCAATTTTCTTCCTTCGTAATGCTGAAGTTCCTCCCATGTCTGACTCTCAAAATGGTGACAAATCATTGCTGGGCTGATATATTGCCTCCAGCATAAAAATGATAGCCCTGAGACTGCAACCCAGGGCTCACTGAGCTCAGCAGAAGGAATTCCATTTATTCCAGTGCACTGTATTAATGGCAATGGTACTTAATTTAGATGGATTGCTATTATAACACAAGCTGGGCACACATACTTCATGTATTTCATGTGGGAATGCCATTAACCTTTTTTTTTTTTTAAGAGAGCAATATTTTCATTTTGGCTAAACAGCAAGCTGAGTCTTCTAAGTCTGCATTATTGGAATATCTCCGTTAGTGAAAGTAGATTAATATTTCCAGGCACACGTCCACCATCATGCTGCTTACATTTCACCTAAACTTTGATTCCTCAGATCTGCCAGACATGTGGCTTGCAACCTTGAGGTTGCAGTATAGCCACAGGAGGCAAACCATGCAAAAATTATAGAAATTTCCCTTTTGAAATCAGTACCTGTCTGATTCTCCACTGGCAATGTATCAATATGATTTCATTGAACTCTTTGCCTTCAATTCAGTTTTAAATACTGAATTTTTCCTTTTTATTTGCACCTTGTACAAGGGAGTAATGAAAATAATGAAACTGCATCTAAGGTTATCTAGCCTTTTGCTGAGTTTGGATGCATTTGGAAAACAAAAATCTATAGGGAAATTTTCCAGCTATGGGGAAAATGGACCTGTAGGTGAAGAGACACCTGAATTGATCCCACCGAGGCCAGTTCATGCAAACTTAAAGACTCACACTCTTTAGAAAGGTCAGAACAGCTGGGAGTAGGAATTTTTAGTCCCATCTTGGTGTGTCAGCCCTCTGCTACTTGAGAAAAGAAGAGCTGACTTGTCTTAATTTCCCTGACAGTACTGGAAGGCACTTGCCATCCGAGTTTACCAAAGAGAATTGCTTAAGTGAGTAATTGCACTTCAAGAAGTGTATCCTGTTTCCCAGAAAGATGAACTTTCCATCATGAGCTGAAAGGAAATGGAGAGTTATGAGCATTTAAGAGGAATCTTCTGCACATTAGGAATCTTTTGCTGAGAAAAATGTCTAATTTCTCATTTTTGGGGCAGTTTGGCTGCCCTTTGGGTTGGGGATCTCTCCAAGAATTAGAGATTGGAGAGAACTGCAGTCAGAGAATGTATAATTTATACAACTGTGGCTGACTGATGGTAAACTTCCTTTTTATGACTCTGTTCAGTAAAGTAATGTCATTTGTAGTGCCACATTAGGGGCAGTCTTTGCCTGCCTTTGCCTTACAGACTTCCAAAGGAAAAGTGTGCTTTAGCTGCCTGAATTTTCTGGATGTGCTCTCTCTTACCTAACTGTTACCATTTTTAGGCTATCCTTCAGGGTTATAGCTCTGCCACCTGCCTTTGTATAGGTGCATATGTAACTACTATTTCATAGAGAGAAAAATTTTATAACGGAACTTAAAAGTCTGTTCAAATTGCAATTAAGTAATAAGTAAGGCATCTTTAGCATCTTTGTTCTGTGGCTGTCTGGCAATGCAAGTGGATCTCTGAGCTGAGCTCCTCTCCTGGCAGAGCTGGAGCTGCTGCTGTTCAGCATAGCCTGGCCAGCAGAGCCATCTGCTGATAGCTCCATGCAGGGAACGGCCCTCAGCCCCTGCTGTGCTCTGGCTGCTTGTGAGCACTTACTCAGAAGTGCCAGCAAACTTCATTGCCAGTAGAAGAATGATTTATTTGTCTAGTAGGTGCTTGCCATACTGAAATGGATCTTGTCCAACCCTCTTTTGAAACTCGAGGAAGCTCCATGCAGGTGAGGGCAGTTACAGGGAGTATTTGCAAATGTAACATCCATCATCCAGAAGTTTTGTGATGAGATTTCATTTGCCATTGTAATAAAATCAATGACAAATTAGTATTCATTATTTTGGCAGGTTAGTTCTGAATGTGGGTGAGGTGGACAGTGTTAAGAAACTGTCCCTTATGTTTGCACTCCTCTCTTCCATGGTTCCATTCCCATTACTCTGCTTTTTCCTGACTGTGGCTCTTTTGTTTGCCTACACTAATTCCATTGTATGGCCCCATGATTTGACAATACAGAGTTATTCTCATAAATCCTGTCAGTCCCAAAAAGGTGCACTTGTGTGACCAAGGGGCAGTTATTAACTATAGGAACACAGGAATTGCTAGAACCCAGCAGAGCACCAGTCTACATCATCCCTACTCCTTGCTTTGACTGTGACCACTATCCATATCTTCTATCCCTCTCTTTTAAAAAAGAAAATAAACAGAACAACCTGTGGCTTTTTTTTCAACCAAGACTTATCAAAGTTTTGCGAGCAAGATAGACTCAATTTTGTTGCTTCCTAATATTTTTTTTGTGCTGTTGAAAAGGTACTGGATTTACACTGCAAGGTTCCTGCAAGCCTAGAGCTGAATGCATTTTTAATATCACAATTGTTATAACTCTATATGACATAGAAGGAAAAGCTTGACTTACTGATCATCAATTTATATCCTGAAGCATGAAAGCAGGTAGAATTTCTTGATAACAATGAAATACTTCTACGTTATTTGTTGTCACAGTCATGCTTTTGCAAACATAAACAAATCAGAATTCACTGAAAGCATCTAATCAAGTGTTGAAAATCTGAGAGTTCACAGCTTCTTGATTTGTAATTCTTGCAAATAAAAGGAACAGTAGATAAAGATGTAAAGACTGTTTATTGGATGGAGTCTCAAGCAGTTCTGCCTTTGGTCTTAACTAGTATCTGTAACTTTTGTGTAATTTCCTTCTCAGTAGTTTAATATAACCTTTTACTGATAAACATCTCTTACTACTTCTAGAAGATACTTCTTTTGTTACAGCTCCGATTGCTGCATATATCTTACATGTGTTTTTTAAAGTCATGTTTTGGAAATCATTATCTTTGTGATCAAGATAATGCTGTAAATGCAGAAAGGTACAATAAGGGGAAATAACTATTTTTATGTGTTAAATACTCTATGCAGGTGTAAATATGGGTTTTTTTTCCAGCCAATAAATTGCATAAACTTTTATATACTTTTAAGGCCATCACTGCAGTTAAATGGAAATAAATGAGTTAAATCAGACTTTTCAGGATATATAAATAGCTGAACCAGGCTGGTTATCTTCCATCGCTGTTCCTGAGCAATCAGAGGATATTGATGGGAATAGCTACGCCCACTTCATCCTCCTGGATAATCCTCTGGGGGAAGCAAGTAAACAACTAGGAGGAAACAACTCCAAGCTTTGATACTCAATGAAAAATTCCAGCCCAAGGTTGTGTTTTAGAACCTGTCAGGTTTGAATTTTTAATTTCTGTAGTAAAGAAGTTAGTTACAAAATCTTACTCATTTTCAGTGTAAGTATTCTGTCATTGTGATTTCCACTCATAGAAGAGGAATACAAGCTGTTTAAGCAGCAGCCACCTGCCTTCAACCTATTATCCTTGTGCTGCAAGTCTGGAACAGTTCTACAGGTACGCGTGTATACCTGTAAATGTCTGCTCTACTGACTATATCCACTGTGTCCAGTACAGCAGCACAGAAACAGCAGCAATGCCCTGGCCACCTGCCAGGCCATGCCCACAGCCATGGCTGTTATCAGAACGTTCCCAGGCCCAATTCAGTAAGGTGATAAGCAGTACAGCACTACAGCAGGCAGAGAAAGCAAAAAGCGGCCACCAACGAGCAGTGGGCTCTAATACACAGTCAGGAAAGCAAACCTCATAGCAAACACAGGAGCCTGCTGATTACTCAGTAAACATCACTAACAGCAATAAATTCAATCTAGCGCGTTCCAATCAAACCCACTGTTACCTCGAAGCCCTCAAGTCCAGTGTTGAGCACCAAAAAGGACTGTGGTGGTTTAACCCCAGCGAGCAACCAAGCCCCGCTCCCAATCACTCACTCCCCCACCAGTGAATCGGGGAGAGAACTGGAAGGGTAAAAGCTGGAAAACTCGTGGTTGAAATAAAGACAGCTTAATAGGAAAAGCAAAAGCCACTCACACAAGCAAAACAAACAAGGAATTAATTCACCACTTCCCATGGGCAGGCAGGTGTTCAGCCATCTCCAGGAGAGCAGGGCCCCGTCACACATAACAGTGACTTGGGAAGACAAACACCATCACTCCAAACATCCCTCCTTTCCTCCTTCTTCCCCCCAGTTTATATACTAAGCATGATGTCATATGGTCTGGAATATCCCTTTGGTCAGTTTGGGTCACCTGTCCCAGCTGTGTCTCCTCCCAGCTTCCCATGCAGCCCCAACTTCCTTGCCAGCGTGGCAATACGGAAAGCAGAAAAGGCCTTGGCTCTGTGTAAGCCCTGCTCAGTAATAACAAAAACATCTCTATTAATGTAATCAACACTGTGTTCAGCACAGATCCGAAACATAGGCCCATACTAGTAACTATGAAGAAAATTAACTCTACTGCAGCCAAAACCAGCACAATCTGCCTTACTGATATCAATCTAGTTGGTTTGAGGGTATTTTGTAGATTTTTCACTGCTGAGAAATTCAACCCTTTGAGTTTTCCCTTTCAGTTGATAGGTTGTCTTTGTATTTAAACTGATTTTTAGGAAAGGGTATATTTCTTCATCTTAAAACTATTCTCTATCTTTCATATCCCAAAACTTAAGTATTTTTATAGGTTATGTATGGGAATTGGAAAATGGAAGTCTCAGACCTTTTTTAGAACCATTCTGAATAGTTGTAGAGAACAGCTGAATAGCTGTAATCTTTTGAAAAGATTAAAAATTCGTAAGGGAATAATAACATCTCAATTTTTACTTAATTAACAGAATTCCCAAATCTTAAAAATGTCATCTTATCCTAATTAACTTGTTCTTTTATAAAGGAACCCTTGCTGTAAACCCTGAGGTGAGAAAGCCACCAGATGTTTGATGGCTTTTTTTTTCCTTATTTTCTGAAGGCAAAGTCTCAGTAGTTATTGAAAAAATATCTCACATGATAAATCTTGAAGATGAAAATGATATTTAAAAATGTTACTTCTAGCCACTTATGTCACTACGGTCAAATTTTACCACAGAGCGTAGCACAACCCCCAGAGAATTGAAATCTGTCACTCAGCTGTGGGATGTGGTTGTAAGAAGGAATCAGCATAACTGAAATGACGATGAGAGAAACAGGAGTCTAACCTGATGAACTAGAGATCTCAGAGGTGATTAAATCTGCCTGCTTCTCATCCCATGGTTTTTTGCAATGATTGTAAGATTCCTGCTACACACCATCTATAAAAATGATCACTTGAGAGATAGGCTTGCCTTGAGCAGGGAGTAGATGAAGTATAAATCAATTCAAATGTAATAGAGGAAAAGTGAAATTAATACAGCTGTGCTTGGGGCATTTGTTACTGTCAGGAAAGCTGCATGCATTATGTCACACGAGGGTAACCTGGTTTGTGTTGGTTTGTGTATTTACTGAGAAAATCTTTGACCATTGCAGTATGATATAGTGGAGATTTTGAATCACGTACTCTGACTTTATAATATCCAAATCAGTCATTTAAGCAAAATCTTTCATTTTGAAATAGCAGCAACAATAACAAAACTTTTTTGCTCGTGGCCTCTCTTCAATATTTGTGTGGAGGAGTATATCCTAGGAAAAGTGAACTTCAGGGTTGTGTGTACCTCATTTTTGGAGTAGTTCCAGGTTAGATTTGAAATTTTCAAGCCAAGCTCTGGGGTTCTCCAAACCAGTTTGGTCATTGGATCAGCTGCTGCCTTGCTGCAGCTATCCTGGGCTACCACGAGTATGGGGCACTTACCACTATTTGAGATCTTTGAACTGAATACAGGTAAGCAACTACCAACATCATTTGATATGCACAGGTTTATAAGTAATGGCTGGATATTGTTTTGAAAGAGATACTAATTGTTCAAATCAATTTGGGAGTTATAAAATAACTTGTGTGTGGTGCAACACCAGCTACATTAATTTTATTGGCCTATGCCATTCACATTAGAGGAGGTGATAAGTTTTCTTCCCACAACCTTAGCTGTTGTAGGCCAGGCTGAGATTGGACAGTTAATCCCAAAAAAAACCTGATTGTATAAAGTTGCTCCTTGATATCCAGTGACTGTTAGTTGGAGAGTCCTACTTTAATAAATAATAAACCTACTGCAACAAGTAAATGGTACTAAAAGTGTAATAAAATGCATCTGAATTGTAGAAGCCACCCAAAATTAAAGGAAAAATAAAAAATACTCATAACTTATATAAAGCAAACACGGGCATATGTGATATAGAAAGGAATTAAGATATATGGACCCAACAGGAGTCATGCTTTAGAAGAATCTTTGTGAAACTGAACAAGAAAAATCCTTAAAAATATGGAGAGCTACACTGAAGAAAACCTTCCCTCTGGCTCTGGTGGGAGGTAACGGGTAATAGGACACAGCTGAATCTTTGGATGGTGCCTTAGTGATGAACTGAAAATCGGAGTGGTTTTTTTTTTCTGGTATAGCATGACTATGCCAGAAGCATGTTATGTTTTATAGGAAAAGAAAATAGGGAGTTAAAAGGATACATAATAGTGTAATCTACTGACTGTCTAGGTAAGTCGAAAAAGTTCTGGCTGTTGCAGAGAAAGTAATGTTGTGCTTCTAAGAATTTTGGTGCTAATTGGAATTGTGTGTATATGTTAAAATTATGATTAATGAGTGGTAATGAGTAGACTTTCTGGCAGTAAATATGATGTTCTGAACATGCAGCTTGCTTGAAATGCCATAGTTACATGGAAACATGGAGCAATCCTGTCAGAGACATGCCTAATATAACTGTATAAATAGTGTTACATTAATAATGGGCATTTGTTCTCTTTATTTTTAACCTATTTCTTATCTTTTTGATTCATATACTTTTCAAATTAGATATAATAATGTCTATTTTGCTTTTTCTGTTCCAGCGAATTCGAGATCTAGAAGATAAAATAGAGCTTCAAAAGAGGCAACTCAAAGAAATTGAGGAAAAGGTAAATAAATGTCTGGGCAGCACCAATGGATATCTTCTCTACAAATTTATTTTTCTCTGTTGCATTGATGTTAGTACTCCTTAACCTAGTATCATGAAATCTATTTTTAAAGCAAGGTAAAATTGGAGTTCAAGTTATTGCTGTGTGAAATGATGCTCTTTCTCTAATCTGCTCAAAACCATTTCCTATCCAGATTTTCTGTCAATTACGGGAAGGCATCAAGGGGTCTGGAGAGACATTAAACTAGTTGGAGGGGGATTTGCTGATGCTTAGATCAAGAAAGAACATAAAGATTTGTCTCTAACTGATTTGATTAGCTCAGCCCTGTTCTTTGGATATCATTGTTTTGCCAAACTTTCAAGTACTGAAAATTAAAACAAAATTAATAAGATGCCTATGACATAATCTACAATCAAGAATATTTCTTACTTTAAGATAGAAACAAATTAATATCCTGGGTCCAAATTTTCTTGTCTTTTGAAAAAGCTCTGATGGAAGCTTGAGACAGCAAATGTATCCCAAGCAAGGGATGGCCCAAGGTTCATGGGCTATGAGCTCAGGAGTTTCCCAGGTCTGTGGAGTTTAGGCTGCTCTGCAGGGCATGGGATGACAATGGGTCTTTCTCTAGGCCCCAGGAAAGTGTTTTAGTTTGTTACTTTTGCTGAATCAGTGCCTAGATCCCAACACGAGTTACATCATCTGAGGTTAATTTTCTCCAGCATTTATGGATACCTAATCCACTACATAAACCCACTGGTAGGCTGAATGAAGAAGTTAATGGAGTTTTCAATAATTTTTTTTCTTTTGGGATGAGAATGGGGTGAAAGATGAGAGTTGAAAGAGGTCAATGGGTCTTGCAGAACTGAGAGTGTCTTTCGGGACCAGCTCACTGGATGTTGAAAGGTTTCTTCCTCACCCTTCAGTCCCAGTGTCCCATCATCTGTCCTCCCAGTGTCACCCTCTAGGGTTATTGCATTTCTAGCAACTGCAATTCCCTCAGCATCTTCCTTGGTCCCTTATGCTCCCACATTAGTTGACTCCCCTCTACGAGCTATACCTCGTCCTGCACTTTTCAAACCGTGATATCCAGCTGGGTTTGTGGAAGATCCAGGAGAAGAGCCATGAGAAACTGTGCTGGGTGCTGCTGTTTTCACTAGCAGAGAAACATAGGAATCATCCACTCCTAGAAGGGCTCTTTTGCAGCCTTTGCCCTTTTTTGCCCCAAACCACTTCTATAGCTGAAGCTGTTCCTGCCTAGCAGCCAGTGATGTCTCATATCAAAGCAGAGAAATGCTGAGGAACAGATGATACTTCCACATGTTAATGACTTCAAATGTTAGTGTTTATCCACCTACTTTAAAACATCAACATCTCTAGATGTTGCTATTGCCCAAATATAAGCCTTTAAGGCATTGCCATTACAGTTTACAAATTAGGTGTTGGATTAGACAGACTGATAATTTTGAAAATGGAAGATAGCATTATCTCTACTGGTTCACCAGCTGGATGGATGGAAAAAAGCATTAGAAAAGAAACAGCTTAATCACAAGCTTAGCAGAAAGCTGGTAATGAGTTAAAATGATTAACGTCCTCTTTGCCTTAATGTTGCATTAGCAAGAGACCTGAGAAGAGCTTCATCTTTTTCTATTAACCTTCAACTTCTGAATGGGTGGAGCACTTCTTTTTATCTGTATTACATTTGAATTACTTTTTTTCCTTGGGATTAAATCCCATTCTGAATTTGATTGACCAAAGGAAAATTATGTTGCCAGGGAATCAGTGAATGATAAACTTTTAATTTATTGTTCTTCTTAAGGTTTAATGCGTCAAAGGGCACAGACTGACACCTACATGCTGCTGATTCTGAGCACAATAATTTCTTGTGGAGACAAGTCGGTCTTTTCAAGAAATAGCAGTATTTATAGCTGAGCCTCATCACTGGGGGTAGCTAAGGGCAATGCACCATTTATGGTGTCATCAGTATGACTTTTTATTTTCCTTTAAGAATTACTTCAATTTTTAAGTTTTATGTCAAATCAGAACACAAGGATGGGA